GTGTGTGTGTGTGTGTGTGTGTGTGTGTGTGTGTGTGTGTGTGTGTGTGTGTGTGTGTGTGTGTGTGTGTGTGTATTTCAACCTGAACCAACCTGCTATTAGGAAGAGTTAAAGCTAGTCCCAAAAGTTAAAATGTGTGTTGTATCATAATCATTTTATAACCTTTCAGTTTTTATGTTAAGTTAATTTACCTTATAGTCCTTGTAGCTTTTTTAAATAATTAAACACAGGACTATCTGTGAAATCCAACAAGAATGATATAAAGATCGCATTATTACATTTTTGTGTGCTTGCATAAAAATTTGTTTAAATTATTGTTCTACAGTCTATATCATTTATTATTAATTAAATACAAATAAAATATTGTTTTTCATTCATTACGGTGTTCCTTCAACATATGTCCAATTTCCCCCTCAACTGTTTTTCATATTCTTATTAAATATTTGTTATAAATTCGCTCGGTATCAAACCACCTCTCGTGCGTTTTGGGTTCAGCTTCTTGGTTTTTGTGCTTGTTGCCAAAAATAAATTATTAAATAAACCTCAAGTATAAATTCTACGGGACAATTTATGGAAAAGGTTAAAGATATTCTCAAGAAAACTTTATTCATCAAGGTAACACTTTTCAGCCAATCGCATGAGATGAAGCTTACACGAGGGAATGACTCGCATGCTGACGTCACCCAAATCATAAATACCAGCCTCTGGTCTGAGCGCTCAGACTCACAGAAGAGAAGAGAAGTGAGAAGGACTCCAAGGATAAAGAAGAAGAAAAATCCATCGGAGCTTTTGGAGTATGAACAGCCTCACATTTTCAGTTTTTTTGTTGGCAACTTACTTTCTTGCCTGCAATGGAGGTAAGTCAGAACAGAGAGAAGCTTCTGATTAATTAATTAATTAAGGCAGGGAGGAACTTAGTTATTTATTAAAGTAACCTTCACTTAAAAATCATGGACATGTTTTCACATTTTTATATTTAAACCTAGACAGCATACAGAAAAAAAATGTTTTAGACACTTTTCTAGGACTTTGATTTCTTAATACATGTTCAAAATGGTCTTTTTTCCAGGTAACCCATGTTGCTCTCAGCCATGCCAGAACAGGGGTGTGTGTACAGCAATGGGATCAAATGATTATGAATGTGACTGCACGCGGACAGGATATCATGGACAAAACTGCACAACGCGTAAGTAAAGAAAAAGTGCTCATAAAATGATTTTAAAATTTTATTCTGCTTCTTGCTGCGACTAGTTCAGTTAAATATTAATAATAATAATCCTCCATCTCTTTGTTTTTTTTATTTTGCAGCCGAATTCCTCACCTGGATAAAGGTTTCCCTTAAGCCGTCACCCAACACCGTCCATCACATTCTTACCCACTTCAAAGCTTTCTGGAACATTGTCAACAGCATCTCATTTCTCAGAGACGTCATCATGAGATATGTGCTGACATGTAAGTCTCCTCATTTGAAGGCAAAATGCAAAAATTCCCTTTTATAACACATTAAACCATTTGTTCAGAAGTTGTTTGTCTATAATAAAAGGTTTGTGTTTGTTTCTTCCAGCTCGATCCCACCTGATTGATAGTCCTCCAACATATAATGCAGACTACGATTATAAAAGCTGGGAAGCCTACTCCAACTTGTCTTACTACACACGCGCCCTTCCGCCTGTACCGCAGGACTGCCCAACCCCTATGGGAGTTGTAGGTGAGCACAGTGTCTTTGGCTCAGGAGAACCAGTTATTTTAGATTTTTAAATACTGCATAAAGAACGGTTTGGTCCCATTACATCACAGAAAACAGATAAAGTGTTTCTTTTATCCTTGACTGAGTGTACGTAAATATTCTCAGTGAACCAAGAACCTGCCTCAACAAGCATAAAATGAAACCGCAACATAATTTGCGCAGTCTTTACACCGAGGTTACACACAGACACAAACTGGTTTGATAAAATGTTTATAGGCGTTTGTTTTTATGTTTGTTTTTTTTCTAGGTAAAAAGGAATTGCCTGACATTAAGGTTTTGGCTGAGAAGCTCCTGGTGAGGAGACGGTTCATTCCAGACCCGCAGGGCACCAGCTTGATGTTTGCTTTCTTCGCGCAACATTTCACACACCAGTTTTTCAAATCTGACATGAAGAATGGACCTGCTTTTACCTTGTCTCAAGGTCATGGGGTGAGTATAGCAAAATGCCAAAAAGTGAACCCAAAAAGGACCATGTTTCTCATAAAAATAAAAGTAAATGAATAAAAGCTGAACAGTGTGGTTTATGTTTTTTAGGTGGACCTCAACCACATCTATGGTGACAAACTGGAAAAGCAACACAAACTCAGGCTCTTCAAAGATGGCAAGCTTAAATATCAGGTATGAGAGAAGAAGTCTGCATTCCTTAGATAAACATTTGAAATGCACATCTGTCTTACAACTTCCTCCTCCTGTTGTGCAACTCTACAGATAAGAAACGGAGAAGTATACCCCCCTTTGGTTAAAGATGTTGGTGTTGAAATGCACTATCCCCCTCATGTCCCCGACTCTCAACGCTTTGCTGTTGGCCATGAGGCGTTTGGCCTGGTCCCTGGGCTCATGATGTATGCCACGATCTGGCTCCGTGAACACAACCGAGTTTGTGATGTGCTGAAGGAAGTTCACCCAGACTGGGACGATGAAAGACTCTTCCAAACGTCACGGCTCATCCTGATTGGTGAGTGTCAAGAATTCTGCAGAAACAATTTACAAGCACCTCCTGCCATATTGTGGTCAGGCAAGTGAAGAGTGAGGAAACTGTGTTAAATGTGGAAGTTGTGAATAGAGGAAGTAGTTCTTTATGTTTTGGTAATCAATTGTTGCATTCAGAGAAAAAAGAACAGGCTTTACAGTGTCTGTTTGGCATCAGAAAGTGGTTAATAATTGTAATAATTGAGGTAAAAAAATCGGTTTTGTTCATTTGTTTGTCTTATTTTCCCCCAAATGTTTAAATGAAGTAATATTTTACGTGCCTGCATCAAGTTAAATAGTTCATTTGTCCTGCAGGTGAGACCATCAAGATTGTGATTGAGGACTACGTGCAGCACCTGAGTGGGTACTACTTCAAACTTAAGTTTGATCCCGAGCTGCTCTTCAACCAGCACTTCCAGTACCAAAACCGCATTGCATCCGAGTTCAACACGCTGTACCACTGGCACCCACTGATGCCGGATAGCTTCCAAATTGATGGGAAGGATTACAGCTACAAGGAGTTTGTCTTCAACACCACAGTGATGACTGAGCACGGCATCAGCAGCCTGGTGGACTCGTTTACCAAGCAGATTGCAGGACGGGTAAGAACTGCTAACGTCGTTGTCGCAACACTATAACGCAAGACTTTAAAGCTTCAAGGGCTCACCCTTTAATTTTCTTGTACAGGTTGCTGGTGGTCGTAATGTTCCGGGACCCATCTTGTACGTGGCCATCAAGTCCATAGAACACAGCAGACAAATGCGTTACCAGTCTCTTAATGCATACAGGAAGAGGTTCTCCATGAAGCCCTACAGCTCCTTTGAGGACTTGACAGGTGAGACAAATCACTTGCAAAACCTTGTAGGTGGAAAAGATGAGGCAAGAGGATTTGGGCAGAAGCTGTTATCAACACTGCTACCTCACTTCACCAGTTTGTTAATTATTGTTAAACGTGCTAAAAGCTATTGTGCCATACTTCATTATTAAGTAAATAGTTTGAACTTATACTGCTGCAGCTTTAAAGGCCGGGTATTTATTTCTATGACTTTAAAAGCCAGATGCTCGTTTAATCTTGATGTAATGTAAGCAGATTGTCATCACAAAGAGCAGGATGTAAACACTCACGATACTTTCTGCTTCCTTAAAAGGGATATTTATTGTGAATTAAAAATTAACTCTATCCATTAAAACATTTACTTATGCAAGCCTTAGGGGAAGTACAAGGAAGTTGACTGAATAGATGTCAGCTGATCGAAACACAGAAAATATTTGTGTTAATTTTGTGGCTGAGCCAGTGAGACAAGCTAAACTGAATGGCTGACTGTTTGTTTCAGGAGAAAAAGAAATGGCTGCAGTGCTGGAGGAGATGTATGGGGATGTGGATGCCGTGGAGCTCTATCCTGGCCTGCTGGTGGAGAAACCCCGTCCCAACGCCATCTTCGGGGAGACAATGGTGGAGATGGGTGCTCCTTTCTCCCTCAAGGGCCTAATGGGAAATCCCATTTGCTCCCCTGAGTATTGGAAGCCCAGCACCTTCGGAGGCAGCGTGGGTTTCAACATTGTCAACACGGCCTCCCTACAGAGGCTTGTCTGCAACAACGTGCAGGGATCCTGCCCGATGGCGTCCTTTTACGTGCCCGACGTTAAAGACACTGGGTCCACGGTCATCAACTCGAGCACGTCACACTCAGGCCACAGCGACGTCAACCCCACCATCATTTTAAAAGAAAGGACTTCTGAACTGTAGAAATTAAATGGAAAAACGATTAGATTTTTTAAAATATTTATTTATTTATTTATGTATTTATATGTTTTTTATTTATAAAATAGGAAAAAAACAGTTTGAGACAAATTTTGTACTGTGTGTATTTGTAAAGTTTTTAATAATTATTGAGGGGAAAAATCATATATATTTATTAAGAAACTTAAATTATTGTTCTTTTAATGAACTCTACTTGATACTTGATGTTTACTTTTTGACAGTCTTAATTTTTTTCCAGATATTAAATCTTGCATTTCCATTTTTTTTTTTTTGTTCGTATAGTTAAAGTCCTGTAAAGAGGACAGCCTTGCAAATCTAAATTTTACAGAGTAACACAACAAAACACTGTAACAAGGACATTTACAATGACAAATGTTTTTTTATTATCTGATTTAGCGTACAGTGAACTGCATTCCTATTTCAGTATTGGTTTACTGTTATCATCTTTTTTAGTGTGTGACTACTGATAAAGAAATATTGGATGATAGTAACTCTTTAAGCTGCAGAGTTCTTCGTTCTTCTGATTAACGTGTTGTCCTGAAGGAACTGTGCAGTACGATTGCATAAGGATGAAACTTGCTGGCAGGTATCTGCTAATTTCCATAAATTAATTCAGTAAACGCTGGCAGGAAATGGAATGTTTCTTAAAAATAAAACTGTTTTCTTTTACACTTCATGGGTTCTATTGTTTTATTTTATCACTTATCTGGCTTTGATCCTTGGATCATAAAGTTTTCTCCTGCTTCCATCAGTCTTTTTTATGTCAAGCATAAACGGTGCTCCCAAATTATTCACTCTTTTCAGTATTTTTCATGATAAATCATTTTATTTGTAGTTTATCAGCCTAAAATCACTGAAACGACAGTTTTTGTTTGAAAAGCACTGAAAGCTTTGAAATTCAAATTATGCACAATCTTGTGCTCACAACATGTTTTGTGACTAACTTACAACTACTACCATCACATTTTAGCTCAATGTCCATTCAAGTGAAGTTGCAGCCATTGTGGCGTTGGCTAATGTCAATATGCCGTGGATGCCATCTTTAATTAAACTGAATTCAAAAGTTAATCCATTTTAGATCCTGTGATCATTTCCTCCAAGTTTTACTGAAAATGTGTTTCAAGAGATAACTCGGAGCGGCTGAAAGAAGCTCAGTAATTATAAGTAATACCAAATGTCCACACTGTTTGCAAGAATAACGTTAAAAGTCAGGAGCTTGATGTTAGGGACAATTTTGGTTATTTTTCTTTCAAACACAGTTTAAACTAGCCTGAGAACAGAGACCAGATGCAACCAAAATACACAAATTATAATGTAGCTGTACAAGTTTGAAGCAACTTCCGTAAATTAAAGAAGCTCTCATGGACATGACATTGATTTAATATCAAATATCTCTTAAAGAGAATAATTTGAGGTCAGTCTGTTATAGGCCTGTACGATCAAATTAAACTTCAAATGAGCCAAATCACTTGCATTTAATGTTTGTATAAGCATGCTATCTATGGTTCTGGAAGTCCAAATAAACAGAATAACAAATATCCAACTGATAATTTATAGTATCTAATATGACTAGAAGAGCACAATATTATCTCAATAATAATCAATTCAATAATAAAATAAAACAAGTTTGGATTTGACAGTTCTTTTAATTGCAAATGCTACACTTCTCCACAAATCAGTTCTCTCCACCTTGTAGTTTTTTTTTGCTACCCTACTAAAAAAACATACAATGATATTAAAATATACTACTGCTTACGATTGGCAGTTGAATCAGTTAAATATAAATGAGTTTCAACTCCGCAAAAGCAAAGTCTTGTTTTATTTTAGCCAGCATTTGTCATTGTATGCAAGCTAAACAGAAATTTCTTTGCAAGTGAACAGTCACTTGTCAACAATATTTTCCTAACAGACTACTTTGCTCTCAGACTGCAAGTTTACTTGTGGTTCCTAGAGTTTCCAAAAGCAGAATGGGAAGCAGAGCCTTCACTTATCAGGCTCCTCGCTTGTGGAACCATCTTCCGATTTCTGTCCGTGAGGCTGACACATTGTCTACTTTTAAAAGTAGGCTCAAGTCTTTCCTTTTTGATTAATCCTATAGTTAAGGTCAGCTTGGGTTTCCTGACCTATCCCTTAGTTATGCTGCTATAGGCTTAGACTACCGGAGAACAAACTGACATAATTTCATCAAATGAATAATTTGTATTTGTAATTATTTCTATCTTAACATGTGTCCTCTTAGTGAGGGACCTGCTCGACTCTATTCTGGATCTACCATTGTGTGTTTGTTCCTTCCTGTCCTCTCAAACCCAGCCGGTCGTAGCAGATGGATGCTCGTCCTGAGCCTGGTTCTGCTGGAGGTTTCTTCCTGTAATGAGGGAGTTTTTTCTTTCCACTGTTGCCTTTGCGTTAGCTCAGGATGGGAGACTGCGACGAAAAGAAGTCCCAACACAGTCTGCTGGCTTCCTCCTTTAGATACACAACTTTTAGTAATTGGCATTTAGAACGTATGTGAACGTTTCTGTTCAGTGCTCTGAGATCACTTCTGTTGTGACTTGGCACTATATAAATAAACCGAATTGAATTAAAGTATCAAAGTGTTACCGTCAATAACAGACAGGACGCCTCACACTGAAGCTGTAAATAAAAGAGGATGATCATGCTTTCTTGACTGAACTGTCCTTCAATGTGAGCTCTTTTAGAGTTCTTCTGCCAATCTGGTTTATTGTGGGGACAGTACTAGCTAGTGCCAGAGACACCAACAGACTTAGTTGTCTTACAATGAAGTCTTGCTTCATTGTTGTCTGCAGACTGGAACAATTTGAAAAGGTGGTGGAGAAAAGGACGTTGAACAAATTGTCCATGAAGGACAATTCAGAACATTCTCTCCACTTCACACTAGAAAGACATCAGAGGTTCTTTAATAACAGACTGCTACAGCTCTGCTGTTGTAGCAACCACTACAGGAAATCATTATTACCACAGATCACTACAATCACTTTAACCACAGATCATTGCCATCTACACCAAATTTTGCTACCTCAGCACCATTTTAAACTATAATTTGTGCATCTGAAATCCTTTATTGCAAAGCTTGAGTTCTATTTTGTAGTTTCATTTGCATCCTTTTCGGTATTTTGTTGTATTTTCATCTGTTGCTGCAACAAATAAACAGCTCAGTTGGAGATTTATCAAAATAAATAAATCATTCCATACAAATGAAATATATGGCCATATAAAAGTGGATGCATCATGAATAATCCTAAAGCTTTCCAATGGGCCATGATGTTGGGGGGGGATATAAAATCTCTTGGGGTGCAAAGGGCTGTTTTACTGTATATGAGGTGTGAGGAGCTTGTACAGTAAGCCTGGCCTCAGCAGAATGAGCTGGCAGTGTTGCAGGGGATGATGGAAAACAATGTTTTGTGGGGTACCCAATCCAGTGAAAAGAATGAAGACGTGACTGGCAGCACAGAGTGGTGAGTCAGACCGTCAGACCGTCAGACATCACCCTTTTCTTACCACAGACAATAGGTTTTCCATCACATCACATTTTTCAGCTGAACCATAGAGCATATTTACTTACACAAGTTCCACTGTCCCACTGAAAACACACCCACACACAGTGCTGCAAACATTGTATTAATTAAGTCATGTGCATCAGTTTTCATCTCAACTGAAGCATATGAACAGTTGCTTCTCCGCAACATCATCATTGTTCTGCTCTTCAAAGGGATGGGATATCCCAGTAAAAGGAACTTGACCCAATGGAGAATGAAAATGACCTGATTGTTTGAGATACATCATTTGGTAGCTGCTAATTCCTCACTGGCAGATGCTTGAGCACGACTCTTACTATTTGATTGACCACCAGTATGTGGCGTGCCCAGATCCTAATCTATGAGACCGAGCAGGAAAACACATCGTGCTTTGTGTGGACGTAATGAGCATGAGCAGACAGTGGGCGCTGGTGCAGGAGAAGATCAGTCTGCGTTTTTTCTCCTGGAACCGGACCTGATGTGGAGACTGTGACTGAGACCAGTTACGTGACACCTCGCAGGTGGTATAACAGAGGCCAGCTGGAAGTTGATATTGTTCATTATGATGCACGAAACTCTGGCAATGAACACCCAAATGTGTAGTTTTAAAGTTTTTCCATAAACCATTAAAAGAAACTTCAAACGTCATTTAAAAAACTTTAAATAAACATCTACTTATAAAACCACAGCAATGCTAATTAGATAGGATTGATGCATATCTCCCACCACCTCTTTTGCCAGAGTTTAAACTAGTCATCTCTTGACGGGAGAGTTGTAGCCAATATTGTCAAGTTTTGAAAGTACTATTATGAGCTATTGAAAGATCTCGCAACATGTATTCATAAACTGACACCGTGCTGAAGATTACTCTCAGCTACCACGACAAAAAAACTTTAGCGAGGTCTTTAAAATTGACATTTATAGTCACTTCTGTATCGACTAAGGTTGATTTACTGTAGCAGACATGATGAGTTAGACTGACTCCCAGAGTTAATCAGTTGTAAATGTAGATCCAATAGCAACATTTCTGAAAGTTTAAGTAAAATGTGTCCAGTGGTTAATGAACTAACGCACAGTGGTGATTTTAGCCTGTTTTGTGGGGTGCTCAAGCACCCCTAAATTTTAACTCAGCACCCCTGAAAATTAAAGTAAAAAATAAATTTGGGGGGGGGGGGGGGGGTCTGGGTTTAGGTTCTGTTTATTGCATTTATGATTCGATGCAACAAAATAAACACATTAAAAAAAAAAGGTAACAGATCATTGTAATACTTGGTTTATTTACATAATGACTTTAATTGCTGACAGGCCGGCCCCTGAGATGCTGGCTTTCAGCAACTGTAGCCCCCTGAGCAGTTTAGTTGAATTTCCTGCTTTAGAGGGTGGGATACAGATTATTCCATATCCAAAACCTAAACTGGGTCAGGAAAAATGGCAAAAGATGGGTAAAGCTCTGCGGCCGGCCTCATGAGCAGCTGAATACAATGGTAATAAACAGGCAGTATTGCATGTTCATCTGTACGAAGGTAACTGCAGGCAAATCCTCCATTTTCTGTCATGATTACATTGTATGTTAATGCTTAAAGCTAGGTGTGCTT